GTTTGTTGCAAAGGTTTTTCATGAACGCTAATTAGGCAACTGAGCAGGAGGAGTATCTACTTAACTTACCTATCAGGAAAGGGCGGCACTGCCAAACCATTTACGTATAGCAAACAGTTATTGTTCTTTTGATGGTCCCTTGTAAATAATTCGTCTTTGAAACTGGAGGACTGCTACAATTTAACGCTCTCTCGTAAAAGTAGCAGTTTCACAAGCATTTGCGCTTTTCAGGCAGGGTATGGGCGAGCAGTTTCGTTCGAAAGATAGTACAGTAAATAAAAGCCTTAAATGCACACGAACACTGCATAAAAACCACGTGATTAAGTGTTATGTTTCAGAACGCTTTGTCAGGGAGCTAGGAGTGGTCCTGGAATGGATGCCACATAGAAGGGTCCCTTTAAAGTCAGCATTGAGTCGAAGCTTTGTGTGTTGACACAAATCCTATCATTTTGTTTGTATAAATCTTGCCGCTCAGGTGGGCACTTTCGAGAGTGTTTCATTCTGGATTCCGGATGAAACAAGTAGGTCAACAGAGTGTAAAACACTTGACAGTCTGAGTGGTGATGCACCAGACACATTAAGAGGGTTTCATTAAGTTGAGACATAACACAATAGGCATAAGTGGACACTCGAAAGGGTCCAAAGTTCGCGCACTGTTGTCAAGGCCGAATGATACACGTTTTAACATACTTGCTGCAAAATAAACTGCTACTGGCCGTTTTAATTGTCTCCGTTTGAGGGTTCTTGTTGGCGCTTCGTTCACCTGGGAGTTAAAAGCTTCTTCCTCAATAGCTTTCAAGAGCTGACAGGCCAGTCATATTTCATCTCCAGCTCTGAAGTAGAAGCCAGCCACGGTTCAGATGGAACCTTCTGGCTTTGTAAATATAAACTGCAATTCGAATTCGAACAGCAATGAACGCGTTTAGGGGAACTTAGGAAAAATCAATAAGATAACTTCACGTAGTTTTGAAAAACTCGGGTACCTCTGCAAGTTTCGAATTCGAGACAGCAAGGGGAAGGGTTTCATAAAGTCGAGACGCCAACCACCTGAGCTATGAGGCGTAACAGCGAAGTGTGAGTTTCATCACATTTAGGTCATGATATTCGCCCAGCCTACTGCAAGCTGTGGACTCCACTAATTCTGATAAAGTAAGCTGACTGTCAAAGCAGAAGTTCTTAAGCAATCTATCAACCCCTGAATAAATACTAGGTGCATCTAATTTATCCCAAGTGACCTAAGTCACTCATGACCTCCGGTGGGGTCACGTAGCTTAGGTTGTAAAAGCTTTGACTATACTAAGGCCCCCCGTTGCCTTCATGTGTCTGCACCCCGCTGATGTAGCACACCTTTTCACAACTAGGTAAAATAAATTATTAAAAGCTGTCAAAACCCCCGTATGAATTACTGGCACCCGGTAGAAATTTGGTGGATCCTAACTTGAGTGTTTTTAAACTCCTGCTTCAGTGGTCTGCTTACTGTATCAGCAGTAAGCTGTACAGGTAACTTGGCTTCAGTGTGCTTAGAGTCCTGGCTCCTGGTGGGGCATCTTTGTTCAGCTGATTAGAGCGTAAGGTGTACTAAAACGTTTCCCTTGCTGCCTCTGAAAACTGGGGCAAATGAATCATTAAAATATCTCAAAACGCCATAGTTTTATCCCCAGATATCAGTCAGTGTAAGAAGACCAACCTGTGTGTAAAGTCTCGAGAGACCTCGGATCCTTAGAAACTGGCTCTGACGTAGAACATCAGACTCAACTTCCTCCGCTGCCTCTGAATCCTCCTCCTCCTCTGAATCCTCGCTACCTGGTCTTCTGCCCACCGAATTATTATCAGCCGCAGGAGGACCAGACATTGCGGATTTTACATGTGATTGATTGTCCACTACAATGGGAGCCTTATTTGGGTCGTTTTTTTTCACTTCTGGCTTTAATTCTGCCACCATTAGGCCTTGATCATCGGTGAAATTTATGGTAGGATTCGTTGTCGAAATGGTCATTTCCCGCGGCAGCCGTTTTCTGGAACGTCTTTGACGTGAACGCTTCGTCCAAAAGCAAATATCAGACATCCGAGGTATGACGGAGGCGGGAATTGAGATGAGCACCTAGAAATGCCAGAGGAGTCATCAAATTAACGATAATTACATGCAGAAGGGAGTCAATAACTGCGATAATAGTCTGCCTGAGATATACGAATCTGCTGGTTGTGAATTGAACAGATTTTCAATGAGTGTAATACTGCTTTGATTTGAGTACTGAACTGTCAGCGTGGCCGAATGCCGGCCAAAGCTTATTCCGAAGTCTGTATTGGCAAAATGGAATGTCTAAAGTCATAATAGCGTTTATAATTAGATGAATGTCAGAATTGAATTTGTTCTCCCTTTCTATCTTAACAAAAAGTGCATTGACTTTTGTCCTCGTATGCAACTACAATCCCGTAGAGCTTATAGAACGGGTCTGTCCACAATCTTCGAACCGGTTGCAATGTGTAAAATTCAAATGTGTCCGACACTGCAAATTATTTCCTAATAATTCTCATATATGTTACTTTATCGATTAAATTATGCATAAATTCGATTTCTTTTTATCTTTATGTTGGTTCTGAATTCGCCCTTGAAAACAGTCATGCATGCGTCATATGTACTAAGTAATACTAAGACGTATAGTTCAGTTGATTTGATTGAACTTACTTAAATGTTTCTTTTTACAGTCGTTACGCCAAGAGCAAATAGAGATTTTGAATGATTTACCTTGGAATGTATGCTGAATAAAACCATAAGCAGCGTGTGATTATTTTTTTCTTCAAGAGCTTGGGACATGAAAGACGTACTTAAGGTCTGTTTTAAAATACTTTCCAATGCAGACGAAGACCTTGAAGGCCAAAGAAGTTAAATACGTCTAACCGACCATGAAAGAGTGGCGTTGACTTAACACATATTTCAGACAACTTTTGACCACTATGAAACGCAAGCGAGGTTTTGCAAAGGAGTATCTGCAAGAGAGGTTTACTATCGTCATTATGACTGCTTGTAGTATACGAGTTAAAAAAAAACTGCGAATGGGCGTTAGATAAAAATTGAGTAGGTTATTCAAATACGGTTATAAAAAAATACAGGAAGACGGGCGTTTCAGAAAAAAAGGAAAAGGTGAGATCGCTGGGACAAAAATTTCATTCGCCTGAAGTTTTAAAGTTCGTCGCAGATTCTTCATCAGAGACATTAGCATAAACAGTAGGAGAAACGGGTCTGCTACTGTTTATGCGAAGGACATTTCTTTGAAACGGTACTTGAAGCGTACTTTGGAATTACCCGACGATAAGACATCCAAGGAAACTTTCTCTTATTTGAAATTACTCGTATGCCTTATATGTGCAAGGCATGGGCTTTAACTACTTCATGTGATTTGCCCATCCATTTGATGACTTATCACCAGTTCGCCACGCAAAAAGGACTTTTCATGTACATGTTTTGTAAAAAGACTGTAATAATAATCAACAAACATGCGAAAATTTCATCAAATGAAGGTTGCAGAGCAATGCAAAGGAAGTTTGAAGCATTTGCCGTTGATATGAATTATTAAAAGGTCCGCAAGTTATCTTCCTTAATCGTGGCCCTCCAGATAGCTTTATTCAGATGTCCAGCAACACTTTTTCGTGCAAAACTGAGGAAACAAAATATGTAAATAAGTCCATAAATATATATTTACCTTTCAAGAATAATTAAATTTCAAGTATTATTAAGCGATGGTTTCACTTATCCCAGAAAGAACAAACAATGCAGCTGAACTCAGATTCAGTGGTCTTACTAAAGCTAGCCCAATTCAGTGGACAAAGGACTCCTTGCCCTTACATGTTTACGCACATTGAGTTATGCATTTGCAGATTCAAATACATTGAGCGAACGCAAAAGCAACTAAAAGCCAGGTCAGTAGAGCACCTGTCTAAATGGCTTCCGAAAAAATAATTAATCCACGCTTTTTTCCTCTTTACAAACTTCCTAGATATCGGCGACATTTTACCTCAAAATAGGTTTCTGGCTATTTGCTCATGAATGAACAAATCGCATATTTTGGTACTTGGAAAAAGCCTAGAGATAGCGCGAGAAAGACAGCATACGTAAACAACTAGAGCATAACGCCCCGTTCAAATTTCATTTTTGATACCCAGGCGGTAGATTAACATATCCGTTTTGCGTGATAAACTTCCTCTTGGTCTTTTTCCAATGTTGCGTTCATAGATTATTCTTTGTGCAATGAAAAATGACTCTGCCCTTTAACATTGTTCCCCTGTCCAATCGTAACTTGCGGAATGTTTCTTTTTCTTCATCTTTATTATTTAGCGACGGGATGTACTGGATAAACTGTCTTTAACTATTTCGAAAACAATAAATTATGCCACCTGCATCTGTGTTAAAGCGATGAAGAACTAGTTGTCTTTATAACAATACTAGTTCACTCGTGCTGTCTCCAATGTAGCAATATGCATTTTAACTCACAAAAGCCTATTTTAGCTCTTTATTGACTGGTCATATTTTTTTTCTTTTACATTAGCTCCTTTTCCACATGTTTCCAATGCAAACGAAATGTTGAGTATTCAGGGCTAAAAACCATCATGTGAGCCCTTAACTAGAATTGGTGAAACAATGAAAATTAAAACAAAATCCTTGACCTATTCGTTGAGTCTAAAGAAAGAATCTCGATAACTTAAGCTAAAGAAGTCATCACCTATCGTTTTAGACAGTGAACAGTGTATGGTGAAAATCCATATTAAACACCGTAAAATAAAGTAAGCACAGCGCGTTTCTATTTGAATGAATCATAGACACTGACAAACTTGCAAGCTCAGACCAGAGTATGTGCGCCTGTCTCATCTTGTAAATACGGCCTAGATCGACAAGGAAAGACTCGGTTATTTAAAATTTACCGTCGTCTTAGTGCTGGAAATAGTTTATCATATGTAAATATGCATCTTATTAAATTCACTTCACACGTAAAACTGCTATACCAGAGTCAATGGGTAAAATCTGTGTTACAAAAACTTGACTATTACACCGAAACATTATCTAAACTTAAAACTAGAGAGAGTGGATTACTAGGGTCTAAAGAAAATGGAAGTCGCTTACTTACTAGACGCCATGTTAGGGATTCCGGTTTATTCAGATCTTCGCTACAAGGCGCGTATCCACTATATATTTCACGCTTTTCCGATCTGATACCGTATGACGTCTTGTCAAAATGTCTCGAAAAATATTTACTGACCGTTTATTTACAAGTTGATCGCACATATATTTCACATCAGTTTTCCTTGAGCACACGTAAGTTAGCTCATCTTATGCTGCAACAAGATCCTCAACATTGGTTGCAGGCAACCGCTGTGCAGCGACAGAAGACAAAACCATTACGATGAGCATAACTAAGGACGGCATATTATACAAAATTAATATAACTTTCTGAAATATAATTGCCCGCGGTTGATTTGTTATTCGCGGAATTTCAGTGTCACACTCTTCCAATACATTTTATAATTAGGCGTGACATTCACCAGTAACGAACGCAGTACCTGATTAAATATTTTAAGTTCTGCAAGCCGGAGACAAAATTAATTGACCATAATGAAAAAGAGCAGAGCGAAAATGGTAGACATGGTCGTGATAAATCTTCAAAAACCGAATGCAGATGTTTGACCTGTCCTTCTTACTTGGTTTCTCAAATAACAGTTAGTCGAAGCCTCGTATGCTAAAGTGAAACCTGCAATTTAAAATCCTAGCTAAAATTCTAGACATAAACGGTTTTATTACAGGGCCCAATTTGCTATTAGAGATATCGATAGAAGAGTGATATATATTTTGCGATCCAAAAGCCAAGCACAACCCTTTTGGGTTGCTTCTATCACTGTTTTAGACAATTCGTCGGAACTTAGGCTTTCATAGGAAAATTCCATCATTACGTAACGGCTGCACAAAAGGGAGTTGTGAACAAATAAACCACTCCGTGTAAACAGACGTACAAAAAGATAATTATTAATTATTCAGCAACTCTGTATAAACATATAAAAATAAATAAGCGCATTTTGTTATATGAATGCGAAAATATTTGGAGAAATTGGCAGAGTAAGCGGACAAACGAGGTCTCTTAATCTAAATGAATTGTTTTCCGCCAAACGGGCCAACTTCACAAAACATTGTCAATTTTACAACTTTCTCTTGAACGTCTTTGCGTGCATTGAAAGCAGATTCCGTCGCATGGTGTTAGAGGAGTCGAAGCAAACACCACATATAGAGGCCTAATAATTTCTGAACTCATTATCCTTTTTCTATCAAATTTCCGGCTGGGCCTATCCATCTACCAAGAAAGTGACCACAGAACATGCTTTTTATAGTAAATGGATAAGGTGGTTGAACTTAATTGCACTAAACGTGTTTTTATTTAAAAAAACAAAAAAAATAGTGATGTCGGCGGAATGTCCTATTTGATAGCCCTTCCAAGAGAGAAAGACCGACTAAATCTCCTAAGCATTAACAAGAAAAAAGGACTATCTTTGGCAAATCACATTGGTTTTATGCTGCGGATGTATTCAAAGAAAAATGCATATGCTGGTTAACGGTGTCACTTCCTTCCAAGTCGCATCAAGAATTTACATCTTAATTTGGGATACCCTACCGTTAGTAATTCACCGCGCTTTCCGATTTAAAAATTAAAAGTTTCCGCTCTAGTTTGCTTAGACAGCACACTGCATATCTTCAAATATGAGTTAGAGACGGGAATTGGAACCATCACTGGAAATATGAGTTGCGTTGGGGAAAATTCCGGAAAGCGTTTATATTACTGAGTCATCACTCTCACTCAAACCTTAACTATAACCCTTAGTCGAAAATTAACATTAACCCTAACTGTAACGTTAATACCATACGTAAATTTTACATCAACCGTAGTCCCCTAGATCTTTGTGTGAGGTCCTAGGAATAGGGACTCTCATTCCAGTACGTTGTACAATAAGATTTCC